AAAGTATCTATTAATTTATTACATGTTTGAATATCTATTTTTTCCCAAACCCCTTCAATTATCACCCACAATTCTCTCCTATTTTTTACATGAATATTTTTCAATCTTTTCTTTATTATTCCCCAAAGGTTTTCTATAGGATTCAAGTCTGGTGATTGTGCAGGCCATTCAAGGACGTTAATGCTATTCCTCGAAAACCATTCCCTTGAAATTCTTGAAGTATGTTTAGGGTCATTGTCTTGTTGGAATATGACGTCCCTTGATCTGATTCCATACCAGTCCAAGGTTCCCAAAAAGTCTTCTTCAAGTATTTGGCAGTAGAGTTCTGAATCTATCTTCTCTTGAATCCAACAAAGATTTCCAATACCCTGCGATGTAAAATATCACCAGACCATGATGCTTCCTCCTCCAAATTTTAATATAGGTTTAACATGCCTGTCTCCAAGTGGTTCTTCAAGCCTTTTCCAACAATATTCTCTTCCATCTGATCCAAAGATTATAAATTTACTTTCATCTGACCATACAACCTTTCTCCAGTTTTCAACAGTCCACCCCCTGTGGTTTAGGGCAAACTTTAGTTTTTGAATCTTGTGTTTTTTGAAAAGAAATGGTTTCTTGCACTTTACTTTAGATTTCAGGTCACCTCTTTTCAATACACGTCTCATTGTTTGAACAGAGACTTCTTTGTCTTCTTCCTTGAGGTCTTTCTGGATATCTACAGCGGTAGAACATTTGTTTCTTATTATTTTTCTGACCACCCTTCGCTCCTCTCTCTTTGTGAACTTTTTTGGTCTCCCACTTCTAGATCGGTCTTTGAGGCTTTCGGGTTCTCTTTTCCTCTTTCCTGTCCTTGAGACAGTTGCTGGGGAGATCTTTTCTCTCTCTGTGATTTCCCTAGTGGTATATCCTTCTTCTAAGAGGAGGATAATCCTAGCTCTTTATTCGATTGTGAGTTGTTTTGGCATGTTGGAGTAACTTCTCTCGTTTGAGGTGATGACATATCTCGATTAGATTATCACTATAAATATCACATGATTTTCACCTGATTTGATTTATTTTATTATTATACGTATAATAATAAAATAAATCAAATCAGGTGAAAATCATGTGATATTTATAGTGATAATCTAATCGAGATATGTCATCACCTCAAACGAGAGAAGTTACTCCAACATGCCAAAACAACTCACAATCGAATAAAGAGCTAGGATTATCCTCCTCTTAGAAGAAGGATATACCACTAGGGAAATCACAGAGAGAGAAAAGATCTCCCCAGCAACTGTCTCAAGGACAGGAAAGAGGAAAAGAGAACCCGAAAGCCTCAAAGACCGATCTAGAAGTGGGAGACCAAAAAAGTTCACAAAGAGAGAGGAGCGAAGGGTGGTCAGAAAAATAATAAGAAACAAATGTTCTACCGCTGTAGATATCCAGAAAGACCTCAAGGAAGAAGACAAAGAAGTCTCTGTTCAAACAATGAGACGTGTATTGAAAAGAGGTGACCTGAAATCTAAAGTAAAGTGCAAGAAACCATTTCTTTTCAAAAAACACAAGATTCAAAAACTAAAGTTTGCCCTAAACCACAGGGGGTGGACTGTTGAAAACTGGAGAAAGGTTGTATGGTCAGATGAAAGTAAATTTATAATCTTTGGATCAGATGGAAGAGAATATTGTTGGAAAAGGCTTGAAGAACCACTTGGAGACAGGCATGTTAAACCTATATTAAAATTTGGAGGAGGAAGCATCATGGTCTGGTGATATTTTACATCGCAGGGTATTGGAAATCTTTGTTGGATTCAAGAGAAGATAGATTCAGAACTCTACTGCCAAATACTTGAAGAAGACTTTTTGGGAACCTTGGACTGGTATGGAATCAGATCAAGGGACGTCATATTCCAACAAGACAATGACCCTAAACATACTTCAAGAATTTCAAGGGAATGGTTTTCGAGGAATAGCATTAACGTCCTTGAATGGCCTGCACAATCACCAGACTTGAATCCTATAGAAAACCTTTGGGGAATAATAAAGAAAAGATTGAAAAATATTCATGTAAAAAATAGGAGAGAATTGTGGGTGATAATTGAAGGGGTTTGGGAAAAAATAGATATTCAAACATGTAATAAATTAATAGATACTTT